GAGCCTGGCACATAGTAAGCACTTAATAAATTATTGCTGACTTACTGGGAGAGCTGGACAGTAGCAGGGCAACTATTTAGAAATGATGTTCTGTAGCAAAACTCATCTTTCCAGTAATACATTCAGCTTTCTTGTTGATTGGTGACTATAAAAAAGCAATTGATTTAGTAGAGTAAAATTCTACCTTGAAAGTACTAGTCTTTTCCCTTTATAATCTATTTTCTATGTAGCAATGAGACTGATATTCTTAAAAAAATAATTCTGACCATGTCATACTTATAATCAAAAATATTGTGACTTCCTCTTATCTGTAGGTTAAAATATCCTCAGCCCTGGTGTTTAATATTTTTGACATAATTTACACCTATATTTCTAGTCATATTTTTCTACTTCACATGCTCTGTTCCAGGCAAACTGGTGTGCCAGTCATGGCCTTTGCACAAGTTTTCCCCAATATTGCAATTCTGAACTCATTTTTCACCTCCACCTTACTAATCCCTGTCTTCCTTCAAAATACAACCTGTGTGTCCCTTTCCTGATCTTCCCTCCCCATTTTGCCCCCCACTTGTTAGTACTTTCTTTTGCTTAAAATAACTTTGTGTGCACTTCATATTGCTTCTATATGAATAATTGCATCACACAAGTAGAATAAGGTTTTTAAGAACAGGAACTGTTTTGTTTATGTTTTGTATTCCTGGCATATATAACATTACTTTATATTTATTAGACACTTAATAAATGTTTGTTGACAGTGCCTAACACATAGTTAATGATTAATAAATGTTTAATTAATTGAACAATGTTTCTCATGCTTATGTAACTTAAGGACTATACAAAAGTCCTTAAAATATGTAACATCAGTAATAATTATTCAGTAACTCTGATTATTAATGTCAAATAAAGCATAAAACAGGAAAATATGTTCAGCAAAAGTTTTTGACTGGGTTGTAGAGACTGGACAGTGCTGAATCCAAATGGAAGAAGGATTCTGCATTCTGCATAGGATTTCAAAATATCCCTATTTTCAGATAACATTTTACCAACTGTAGGCCTCAGAATTATTTGGAGCATCTTTTTTTTTTTTTAAGGCAACTGGGGCTAAGTGACTTGCCCAGGGTCACACAGCTAGTAAGTGTCAAGTGTTTGGTCTGCGGCCGCATTTGAATTCAGGTCCTCCTGACTTCAGGACCGGTGCTCTATCCACTGACCCACCTAGCTGCCCCATATTTGGAGCATCTTAAAGAAGGTACATGATCATTCAAAAAAAAAATTTGGCCTTATAATCTACACAGGAAACACCGAGGAGTTAAAACTTCTCCCTGAAACTAAGGTCTATCTTTTTAATACTAACATTCTTCCAGTTTTGTTATATGTCTGCTAGTCCAGGAATACCGTAACATCTGAATGTTTAAAGTTCTTTGTCAATCACTTGTGAATAAGATACATTCAAAAACTGCCTATAAGTGGCTTAAAAGATGATCATTACAGAGATGTACTGTAGAATTAGAGAAGATTATATACTCTGATCATGGAGAAATAGCAAGGTATATGTATATATCCACACACACACATATATATACATTTAAATATATATACACACATGCATACATACATTTAAATATATTTATTTATATGTTTGTATATATACAGTGGACAGCCTTAGTACCTTGTTGGCATCTATCCAATGGCAAGAGATCTAGAAAAGGTCTCCATCATATTGTGTAGAACCTGTGTGGAGGACTGATGGGAAGATGCAGACAACATTAAAATTATATTTTCCTTGGCTGTTTTAATAGAGGACCATCTTAACATGAATGTTTGAATTCTACATATAGTTTAGAAACCTGACTTTTGGCTGAAAAAGCTTTTTTTTTCCCTCACCACATATTAGACTCCTTGGAATATAACATTTTAGACTTAGGGGGGACTTTGTGATAAATGTGGTGTTCTGGAATTGACACAGGACTTGATTCAAAGTCCATCTCTTCTGCTTATTGACTCTTCGACCTTGACCAAATCACTAAACCTTTTTGAGTCTCAGTTTTTGCAACTGTTAAATGGGAGTAATGACACTAACTTCTAGTTCCCTCACAGGGTTGGTTTCAGGATGAAACAATGTAAAATAATACATTAATATGAGCTATTAACCTACTCCATTCTCCCTCATTTTGTAAATGAGGAAGCCAAAACCTTTAAGAAATACTAGCAAATTGCTCACTTTGGTTTATTTCCTTTTTCTGTATATACATTTTGGTTGTTCCTAATGAAATGGCCAGAAGTCAAGTTTATAAAGGAAGATTAAGAGGAAAAAGAATTAATTATTAACTATATCAATAGCTTCTGAATAATAATTATCTGTTTTGTCAGCCATTACACAGCAAAATCATGATAATTTTATTAGTGTTCTCACTTGGGACACCTAAGGCCAAACTCTATATTTTAATAGCATCCCATTCACTGGTTCTGAGGTTGTCAGGATAGGAGACTTGCATGCTCTTTGACCTATTCTTTGATTCACCTCTACTATTACATGCTATAAGCATTGCCAGCTTAGTCCCTGCAGCTTCACTCTAGTTCTAACATTTTCCTCTGCTTCATAGAACCTAGTACAGAAGACAGTCACAGCATTCAAGTCCCCAATACAACCCAAGCCTTGATTCTGACTCCCTCTAATTCTGTCATCTAGCCATGAATCTATCAGGTCTTTCCATTCCCTTCCTATCTCCTCGTGAAAAATCTCATTGCATTAGCTGTATTTTGGAAAAGGTCCTAGGCATTTCTCTTGATGGTGAGATAAAGAAAACAAACAACCCATATTTATACCATAAAACTCTTTATAATTTATAAACAAATATTCTTGACTTTACAAAAATATTTAATATAGTTCTGATAAAAACACTTTCTAGTTATTTCTGTAACTTAAATACAGATTATATTGCCTTTAATGGGGAAGGGAGTGTAGAGAAATAAAGCAGTACACAATGATGGAGAGGGGGAATAATAAAGGAGCTCAAATGGTAGGAATAGAACCCTGGCTTTTTAGGAGCTAGAGGAAAAAGTGGGGCCCAAGGCTCTAATAACATTACTTTATCTTTTATTAGTTGAAAAGTTGTTTACCTGCAGGTAGTCAGTCTGACTGTTCATTGCCCAGGGAAGCTCTAGTTTTTGGTGGAGCTATGACTGTGTTGTTAGCTACTCTGGGTGCAGCAGCAGTAGTTCTTTGCACAGAAAACTTTCTTTTGCTATCAACCTTTATCTCGGTCACAGGTCTTGTGCTAGTACTCTTAACACAGATGACTATTTTTAGGGCCAGTAGTGGCTTTGTAAGTAAGATGTATAATTCCTGTAACCTGCTGAAACTGAATTGTGGCCAGAGATTTTCCATAAATTAATATTTTTAATTTCTAATTAGTGGATCAGTATGAATAGGTAGGATAGCATTCAATTGCCAATAGTATTTTTGACTAAAATTGCCTGGCAAGTACAGTGCAGAGCTCAAAAATTATTTTTATTGTTGATACACATGTGGTACATAATTTTGCTGTCCTTTTGTGCAGGTTGCCAGGGTTTGAATACCCTTTTATGTTATTGATGATGTAATTTTTTCTCAAAAAGAAAATAATTCATCTTTAACATAGTAGAACTTGTAACCTCATTGTTTAAACATCTTGAGTGGATCCCTATTTTATATATATATGATTAAGTTCAGATTTCTTAAGTGTGTTATTGAAGACCTATAATCTCAGCCAATTAAGCATTTTGTTAAGTATGTAGTATGTACCAGGCACTGTACAAAGTGCTGGGGATACAACAAGAGGAAAACAACAATCCCTGCCCTCAAGGGGCTTACAATTTAATAGAGGTGAAAACAAAGAAATGGATATGTACAAACAAGTCATATGTGGGATAACTAGGAAATAATCAACATAGGGAAGGCACTAGAATTTAGAGGGGTTTGAGAAAAGCTTCCTATAGAAGATGAGATTTTAGTTGGGATGTAAAGGGAATCCAGGGAATCCAGGAGACAGAGATGAGCAGGGAGAGTGTTCTAGGCATGAGGAACAGCCAGAGATAATGTCCAGAGTCAAGAGATAGAGTGTCTTGTTTGTAGAATAGCAAAGTGGCTAATGTCACTGGATTGAAGAGTTCATGGTGGGGAGTAATGTGTAAGAAGACTAGAAGGGTGGGGGCAAAGGGGAGTAGATTATGAAGGACTTTGAATGCCAAATAGATCATTTAACATTTGATCCTGGAGGTGACAGAGGGAGTATTGGGGAGGGGAGGGGTTGACATAGTTGGATCTGTGATTTAGAAAAATCACTTTGGTGGCTGGAGGATGAATTAGAGTGGGGAAAGACTTGCAGCAGTGAGACTAACCAGTCTATTTAACATAACAGTACAGGCATGAGGTGATAAGGGCCTACACTAGAGTGGTGGCAGTGTCAGAGAAGAAAAGGGGCTCAAACTTGAAATTGATAGAACTTGGCAACACATTGGATATGGCAGGTAAGAGATAATGAAGAGTCAAGTATTAGACCTTAGGTTACAAGCCTGAGGAACTGAGATGGTGGTAGTGCCCTTGACAATAATAGGGAAGTTTTCTAGCCTTATCTTCCATTATGTCCCCAATATGTACCTTTTACTCTAACTTTCTGGTACACTGTCCCCCAAATATACTTTGTACTGTGAATCTTCTGGAATTCCCTCCCATCTTTCTCTATGGCTCCATGTAGTCTGTCTGTAGTCTATGTATCCTTTGTGGCCTTAATAAGAACACTTATTGTCAAAACCTTTTGTCCAGCAATTAATCTTATATTGAATTTCAAAGTATCTTCTGTGGTTTCATAAGTCTTTATCTTCCTAATGAAACTATAAATTTTTGAGTGCAAGGATTATGTTTTAAATATATTGCCTAATATGATACCTCATAGGCAAATTATGTGTATTTTAAATGTATTATTAATTTAATATGATGAAATATTTTATTTATTTTTAAATAGCTTTACAATGAATTACAAATTAATTTTGAAGCAAAGAAAGCAACTGAGTCTCTGCTCCGGAAAAATATTCTTTGTCTTAAGGATCAACTAGTTCAAAAAGATCGGGATATCATACAACTGACAGAAAAAATTGATGAACTCGAAAAAACTTCACACTTAGTAACTCATAACCCTTTTCTAAATAATATGGAACAGGTGAGAGCCAGTTTTTAAAAGTTTTATTCGTATTGATTTTGATTATTTCTCACTTTTGATTAGAACTTTAAAAATCTAAGTATACTTCCATAAAATAGGAACTAGACTAGAAAATGAAAGGTAGCTTCCTTACATTCCTAAGAATATTTCACAAAATTGTTACATGAATACTTAATTTATCCAATATAGTTTTTGGTAGCATATGTGTTATTCTTCAGTTGGTTGTAGTTACCGTCAGTATAAGGCAGATTAATAGTTTGTGTCTGTTTTGATAATTTTCTTAATGAAGGAAGCAACATAGGGTACTCAAACATTTTTCAAAATTTGATTTCTTTGACTTTGGGTTAAGATTTTTTTTCTGGTTTTATATGATTTCAGATTCTTCCCAACTAAGAATTTTTTCACTTTATTACATTTTATGAGGCATAGAAAATAAATGTAATATTTAGAGTTTTCCCCATAGAATAGGTACCACTAGGAGTATTAATGGTAATATGTGGTCAAAAATCTACTAGCTAAATGATTTTTCAGAAGTGAACTACCTGTGTCCTTAGATGTATTGCATAATATTTTTCTTCCAAGGAATGAAACATAACTTAAATTTTTTCTCAATTTAATAAATAAGTTTTTATTAATGTCTTTTTTATATTATCATGTTCCCCCTTCATGTTCCTTTCCTTCTACTCTGAGAACAATTTCTTATAACAAAGAATATTTTTAAAGATAAAAAGGTAGAAAAATGATCATAAATGATCAATAGATTGAATAAGTCTGAAAATATGTGCAATTTACCACACACCTTCCAAAAGTAAAGGAAGTGAGGTGGCATGTTTTCTCACATCTCTTCTTTGAATTCAGGCTTGTTATTTGAATTTTGCAACATTCAATTCTTATTTCTTTTCTTGTTGGTGGTTCTTTTTGTTGTAGTGCTTGTGTGTATTGTTTTCTAGCCTCCGTTGACTTCATTGTGCATCAATTCATGTAGATCTTTCCATGTTTCTCTGTGTTCATCATATACATCATTTCTTTCTAAGATGGTTGTACTGATTCACAGCTGTCCTGCAGAGCACTGGTATTCCTGTTTTCTCACAATCCCTCCAATATTGTTATCTTTTGTCATTGCCAATTTGTGTGATGTGAGGTGAAAACTCAAGGTGGTTGTGATTTGTTTTTCTCTTATTATTAGTGATTTGGAGCATTCTTTCTTATGGTTGATTGTTTATAATTCTTTTGAGCACTGTTTGTTTCCTTTGACCAATTATATGTTGGAGAATGGATTATTGTCATATATGTTTACATATATGTAATAGTACATTTACATATGATTCTGTCTCTGTTTATCTGTCTGTCTAGACTTTTATTGCTGGGCTTTATCCTTCCTTTTTTTGAGGGATTATGCCATTATTTGACTCAGAAAAAGGTAGAGTATTGTCAGGTTTAGTCTATGATGTAGCTGGCCTATTTTTCCACTTCTTTTTTTAAAATTTTGCTTTCTCTTTTGTTCCATATGCATTTTTTGAAAGAAATCTCTTAATGATCTCTCTGTTGTTCTTTTGTTGATATTGTTCTTGGTTGCTATATTGCTTTTTTGTTTATTTTGTTTCTATCTTGAATTTCTGGTTTTTTTGGTGTTTGATAAGTTCATAATTTGTTCAGGTCTGGTTCTCTTTGCAAAAACACCTTTTTATCCTATTGAATACTTATATTTTTCATTAATAGTTAGGGTCAGATTTGTCGGGTATGTCATATTGGGGTTGCATCTTGAGCTCCTTTGCCTATCATAAAACATTATTCTATTGCCTAACACAGTTTCTTTTGGGTAAAAAATTATCTTGTGTTGTTTGAATTTTTTTCCTTTGTATTTGAAAATATTTCTTCTTATCTCTTGCTTTATTTGTTGTTTGTCATTGGAATTACAAAATTTAACTACTATGGTTCTTAGAGTTTTTTGGGTGGGGAAGGTGATCTGGGGATTTTTCGATTGGCACTTTGCTGTGTTCAGAAATTCTAGGCAGTTTCTTGTATTTCATACATTATATGTTCAGTTTTTTTTGAAAAGCCATGTTCTTCTGGGAGATCAATAATCTTTAAGTTGTCTCTACACTGTCTTCTAGATTAAAATGTTTTGTTTTTATGGAGATCACATTTTTTAAAGATTTTCCTTTACTTCTGTATATTTTTATTCCTGATCAGATGTTCTTTGTTTTTTTTTTTTCAGTGAGGTTTGCCACCATGGATTTAAGTTTTTCTATTCTACCAGTTATTTCTCTTGAGAATTTATAGATTCACAAATAAAACTATATTTTGAAAGTATGATGTCATAATTTTGTATTTTATAACCTGAAATAACATTTCCCATTTTTATCTCTTACTGACTTCCAATAAGAAAAAGTGAAAGACCAAATATATTTTATACTGTCTGCCTCTAAAAGTAAATGTTTAATCTTTTCTTCTTTTCAATTCATATTTAACTATATCATTGAATTCAAAAGTTGTCTTTAAACTAAATATATGCTACTTGAATTACAATTTTCCCTCCAAATTCCAAAATGAAATTTCACCATTGAAAACAAAACCAAATTGTCACTTATTTATGACTAATATTCAAAGGAAAGTTCTGAACATTAATAACAACCTTCAAAATGTTATAAAATGCAAATTTAATTCCACAAATTTTCTTTCTTTAGAGATTAGAGCTATATGAGAAGGAAATATATTTTCTTTATTTTTCCCTATCCTATTAATGCATTCTATAGAACTTGAATAGTATTCCATTCTTTTCAGGACATGAAGACAGTTAGGTCATAGATAACGGACTATTAGAGATGTAAGGGAGGTCATACCATCTATTTCAGCCTTCTAATTCTAAACATGAAGAGATTGAAACTAGAAGAGGTACAATGGCTTGTTTATGACTCTATCATAACTAATAAAAGAACTGATATTTGATCTAGGTTCTCTTGAGTCTTTGTTTAATGCTCTTTCTGTGAAACCACACAAGTTTAGTAATCTAAGTTTATAAGGCATTGAATTCCATCTCTCTTCCTGGGAGTTGTCTCAAAGTTTTTTTTAACACCCCCAAAAAATCAAATCCAAATGAACTTCATTTCACTTTGATTTAGATGTTTGCTATATGATAGATATTTTCCATGTCTGATAGAGCACTTTGGAGAGTAGGAAAATCAAATGGTAAGGATCCCTAACTTCATAAATATTGCTAATTAATATTTTGGTCTAAATTCCTAATTAAATTGTTAATTTGGGTGTCCATTTTTAATTGTTGCTGCTGACATTGTTAGGGCAGATTGATGTATTTCTTTAGAAACAAACATTGAAAGTGTTCATATCAGTAATCACTAAACATATCTTCTCCTAAGTTTTTTTATTTTCTAGATAACAATTTCTACATAGCTTTACTTAAATACCATAGATCTTTGTAGCTGCCTTTGTGTTATCTTTGCTAGTGGCTGGAATTAATAGTTTAGATGATCTCAAATAGTATATAAAAATTAAAAATCATTTATATTTTAAATGTATTTTTGTGATATTATTCAACTATAAATTTGTCTGATAATGTGAGAATTTGAACTACTTAGTAAATAGTTAGGAATTCACAATGTGATCATTAGTTTGAAGGAGTGAAAGATGTTTAAAATCATCTTTCATATTAATGCAAAGTACCAACTTCATGTGTCTTATCATTCCTCTATACCTTTCTTTGTAGGAGAAGGGTGCCACTTGAAAGGCATACCACTTTTGATTAAAAAACAGGGATTCGTGTTGTTCATGAGCTTTTAAAATATCTTGACAACTGTATTTCAATATAGTTGCTTTCTTTATAATCCTGTGTATTTTGTTTTATGCTTTTAAAACCATTATTCTTGCTAGGTGTCCTTCCAAAGTGTTCCATGTCACAAAAACTGTAATAACTCTTGGTTTATAAGAAGACTTCTAAGTTATTTTAGCTGCTATAGGAGTGTCCAGAGAGAGAAGATTTTGAATCATGCTGAACAGGAGAGAGTGAAAGGGAAGGTTCAAAAGAAGGGGAGAAATAGATAAATGAAAAGAAAGAAATAAGAAAGAAATTTAATCAAATTCAAAGAGCTTGGGATAAGACAGATAAATATTGTCAGAGGGGATAAGGAGGTAACTCATAGGAATGTTATGTAAGCTAATTGCAGGGAACAGTTATTATCTTTAAAGAAGATTGTGATAAAATCAATACAAAAGAAGCAAGTAGAGGAAAACACAAACCCACATTTTAAAGATTAATGTATTAAATGATCCAATAAGACAAAAGTAGAAAAATGGATAAGAAAACAAAACCATCTATCTTCTCTTATGTCAGTGAATCAAGAAATAAACAATTACTACGCACTTACCGTATTTCAGATACTGTGCCATATCTTGGGGATACAAAGAGCGGCAAAAAAAGTCCTTATCTTCAAGGAGCTTGAAATCTAATGGGGGAGACAAAATGCAAACATATAAATACAAAGCAAGCTGTGTATATACAAGATACGTAGAAATTAATTAAAAGCAGGAAAGCTTTAGAAGTAAGAGGGGTTGGTGAATGATTCTGGTAAAAAATGAGAAGTTAGTTGGTACTTAAAGGAAGCCAGAGGTGGGAGTGGGCAGAGGTGAGGAGGGAGAGTATTCTAAGTGTGGGGGACAAGCCAAAGAAAATGCCTGAATCTGAGACATTGAGTATTTTGTTGATGGAGCAGTCAGGAGGCCAGTGTCAGTAGATCGTTATGGGGTAAGGTGTAAGAAAACTGGAAAGTTAGGCAGGGACTAAGTTATGAAGGTCTTTGATTGCCAAATAGAGTATTTTCTTTTCATCCTAGAGGCAGTAGGGAGACACTCCTATTGAGTAGGGAAGTGACATGGTCAGACTTGCACTTTAGAAAAATCACTTTGGTGACTGAAAGGATGGATTGGAGTGGGGAGAGACCTGAAGCAGGCAGACTCACCAATAGGCTAATGTACTAATTGAGGTG